CCCCAAAACCCCAAAACCCCAAAACCCCAAAACCCCTAAAATTATTCGAGATTTATAATATTATGGAGCTTAACGAAGCAAGTTTGTCATTTTCAAGAAGGAAGATAAATGACATTTTCAATGCCAAACATACTATTGACAGGTAAGTTGAATCAGGATTTGGCTAGATTTGTAGGTACGTTAAAGATCTGAAAGAAATGAAAAAGAAATTTGAAGGATGATATTCAACAATTTTACAAGGTATTCAACAGTCGAATCAAATCTAGTGGGCATTCTCCTCCCAGAAATTGTAACGAAACAGGAATAACGAGGGTAAAACTCTCTTATCACTTTTGCCTTCTCACCTTAAAATAGCTTTCAAAACCTCTATCACATGTATGCTCTTACTAACACCTCAGCCCAACTCACCGATATCGCATCTCTTCACCAAGACCAGCTTAGCCACCTTACTCAATCCTTGGATTCTAAAAGTAAGATTCTTCTAATAAACCCGCAGTAAGTAACTCTGAAGCAAAAACCTTCGCTAGTCAGGACGAAGTCCTTCTCCTCGACCAAAACCTGAAGAAGAAAATCAACGGTCTCAAGGTAAAAATTCTTCCTAAAATCCCACTCATTCACACTTTAGGAAGAGATTAAGGTCGGCACTAAGAAATGGCAAGAAGAAAATTTCTTCAAGCTCGCAGAGAAATGTAAGTTTCTTCGTGGCCTGGTCGGCGAGTTCTGAGGGTTCAGTGGGATTTTGGGATTTTGTGTCGAGATTTTTATGATTTTAGTGATGAGAGGTATGGACGGGTGAGAGCTGTAGATGCTCAGAGAAAATTGGAGGAGAATTTGGAGAGGAAAGTGGAAGAGAGGTAGGAGAGGGGGCTGAGAGATAGGTTTAAGGGCATTGAGCAGGCTGTTGAGGAGCTGAGATTTGGGGAGTATGAGGATAGTGAAAGCCAGATTTCTCAAAATGATGAAGGTAGTTGTTTTAATAGCATTGATAGACCTCCCAGATCTCAAGATTGAAACATATAATCCTTGACAAAACCAGTTATCAATGAATAGCCAGGTCAATTCTTTAAGTATTCATTACTCTAATGTATAGATACTCTCAATTTGATATCACCAAAGCTATCACTATTCTCACCAAAAACAAACTTAGAGGTTGAGCAAAAGAATGAAGGATCTCAGAATTCATCCCCAAGAAAGTCCAAAAAGGATGTAAATTTCACTACCAAAGTAAATCTTCCTGAATCCAAAAATCTTCGTCGAAAGAGTATCAAAAATTCACGAGCTAAAGTATGAGGATACACTAAGATTTAGAGGAACTCTCGGGTGATAAAGCAGGATACCAACCATGGCAATATCTCTCTTCTGTCCATCAACTTGCCAAAAGAGAGGATTGAGGAGGAGAAGACTGTCCATAATCGGTCAGATAGTATTTTCTCAACAGCTAGTCGCAGGACTGTTGGAAAGAAGCGGAAAGAAATGATCGAGAATATTGTAAACAAGAAACTCAATGAAGTACAGTAAGCTATCTCTTGTCAAGCATTAGGCTTTTCCACCGTCTCAGAGCTTGAGAGGAGACAACTAGAAGGCTAGACGAGCTCTATAAGATGGATAAGGTGGTCCTAAATCATTGTGACACTACTATCAATAGGAATTTCCCAAAAATAAATAATGAAATCTACGACCTCAAATGCGAAGTTCATAGATTTAAAGAATACGATGCAAAAATTAACCGTGAACTTGTTACAAAGCCATGTGAGTATGTTACTCAGAAGTTGAATGAATACAGAGGATTAGTCAAGACATACCTTCTCACTCATAAAGATTACTGTAAGATGGGACACCTCATGCTGGACTTGTGTATATTTCTCAGTAAAAATTTGAACATGCATTTTAAAATAATTATCTGAAATAATAAGCAAGAATTTGAACTTCTGACAGTTAATTTAGTAGCACAAGCTCACAAGAGGACACTCAAGCTTGAAATAGAGTTTCATGAATTCAAAGCTAAATGGGATTTATCTGAAAAAGCCAAGCAAGAGCAGCAGAATGTTTCTAAGCTTCATAAAAGACTTGAAGTTCAGAAGTACTCCTCTATTAATCTTGTAGGAGAAACATGAAAGATTTCCTTAAAGATATGGACTCTCTTCGTGATCGAGTCAACAGCGTAGAGAAGTCTAATGAGGACCGGAAGGAATGGTACCTTTCTTGTTATAATATTTAGCACTATTGAAGACATTATCAGACAAAACGATTTCTCAGAGTTGAAAGCTCGCAAAAAGGGTATTAACTGTGGATGATCTTTAGTGCCATTCAATAAAATCACTGATCGTACTCAAAGGAACAGTAATATCCTTTCAGATGTGAACTCCTCAATGGCTAGTATTCGAGGTAAGGCTCATTATAATTGTAGATTCACTCAAGCTACGCATCCAAGATCGGAAAAAGAAGAGAGGAACCTTAGCCATGAGTCTCTCTCCCCCTCCGATATAGACTTGATCTTCAATGGATCCAACATCAATGTTGATTTTATTTAAAGGGGTTTTGGGGTTTTGGGGTTTTGGGGTTTTGGGG